ATATATATATATATATATATATATATATATATATATATATATATATACTATATGAGAGGTTTAGTGTTCATTTGCAGTTTTTCTGATGATGTTAACCAGACTTTAAGTATATACGCTCATACGTGACACACCCACTTTAACTCCTTTAACACAGTGGCTGCCCCACATAACAAATCCCATTTTAAGCCTGTGGTATCAAGTAACAAGTGTGAAAGCTCCCAGTGAGAACAAGGTTAAAAGTCCGGCAGGATTCTCATTTTACATTTACCATCGTAACTCTGACTAGTTTAACGCCGAGAACAGGGCTAATCACTCGGATTAACTAAAAACACCTGTTGGTATGGGTGAAACAATTCCTACAGGAGCAGTAAAAAATTTAGACGTGAAAACAAAAGAAAAATAAGTATAAAATTGAAACCATGTCAGGTTGCTAATAGAGTTTTCAGTTCACCAGCTCATTTAATGTTTTTTTTTTTTTTTTATCACTCAGCCATTGTGCAGTAAACTAGTCTTTTTGGTGAAAAGTCGTGAATCTTTATGTTTGTTTCCTTCCAATACCAAACTTTAAGACTAAAGCAGGAAATGGGAGCGCAGCACCAACTGCCCTGCAGGCTGCATGCTGTCATCTGTCTTTTATCTTTCTAAACCAAAGACAGAAAACGTGGCTCATTTAAACGCCTCGATTCATGTGAAATGTAAATATTTAGCTGCTTTACCAAAGAAGACAATTGTCCAATAGCAAGGTTCATATTGTCAATTGTGGACACTACATAATTACAACAAACTCAAGTTTAAAAGGGTTTGGGGCAAAAAAACAAAACAAATTTATGTTATACTGATAAGGTTGGCCATTTATTTTTACATAAAAACACACAACTGTAACAAGATAATAAAGAAAAAAATCCCATTGCATCTCAAAGAAGTAAATCAGCTAAATTCAGCATTGTTATTAATAAGGCTGGATAAACCTTAGTTTTGTAACTCCCAAAGAAATTTTTCGTTTAAAAGAATAGCTCAGTATTTTGTTTT